TAAAAAGTGACTTCCAGTTCTTGAGTCAGGCTCTGCGTTAAGTCCTTTAGTCATGATTTCATTTTATCTTCACCACAATCCAGGGAGATAGGCACTGTTCCTATCCCCATTTGTGAGAAGAATGTCCATAACTGGGAGAGATCAAATAATTTACCCACTATCATAGAGCTTATTAATAGCAGGTCCAGAATTTGAATCTGGATTTTTGTTTGTTTGTTTGTTTGTTTGTTTGTTTGTCTGTTTGTTTGTTTTATTCCAAAAGCCATTCCTAGAGCTTCTCATGGGGTAAAAATGGAGGAAAATGGAAGTGGGAGGTACTGAGAGATTGGCTACCTGTCTGAATAAAAAGACAAAGCCCTGCCTTTGAAATAGTCTAAAGCAGGAGGCTAAGCCTTTGAAAGCTTTCAGAGTGCCTCTAGCCTGACGTAGACTGAGTACAAGTGCAAACTCTAGAGGACAAAGCTCCTCAGAGGGAACACAGAGCATCCAGGACACCCTGTCTCCCAGCCTTGGGACAAGCCAGCTTTCCCTCTCCATTCAGTTCTTGAGCTACAGTGACCTTCGAACCTGACCGTAAAGACCTCATAGAGCCACACAGAGGAGACAGAGACAGAGAGACACAGACTGAGAAACACCAGGATTCAGAGACAGGGAATCAGAGACAAAGAGAGACAAGCAAAAACCAGAGAAAGAGTCACAGATACAAATAGAGAAAGATACAGGATCAGACAGACAGAGACACAGATTCACAGGCCCACAGAGATAGAGTCAGACATGGAGAGACTCTGAGAGGTACAAACAGAGACACAGAGAGACCAAGAGCAGCAGAGGAAGGGGGTAGGAGCCAGGAGGGCATGAGGTGGAAGAGGACTCAGTGGCATCAGTTGAGAGGAGCACCTGTTCAGGCCCAAATCAGAGGCTCCATAGCACCTGGCAAAGGTGAGGCTCTTAAGGAAGAGGGAAAAGAAGTCCTTTCCAGGATGCTCTGAATGCAGGCGTTTGAAGAATCTGCTGGATACAACCCCAGTCCTGGGTAAGGATGCACACACAGCCCAAGCCCAGGGTTTAGGCTCATCTCTGTCCCTCTTCACCCACGTTGGGGGTGACTCAAGAGATCACCACTTTGAACTTTAGTGGCTTCTGGGCCTGGAATTTGGTAGACAAATGCTTTCCCTGAGCCTGACCCCAGCGGTGGTGCCTTGATGGCTTGGAGGCATTAGCCCTCTCCTTCATCACCAGCAATTCCAAGCCACCCCAAAGAGGCAGGAAATCTTCATAAAACAGCACGCTTGCTATACAAACCCAGCAGGCAGGATCTTCAGCCCCCTTCCCTCCAGTCAGCCACGCCTTCGCCCCCCTATATGGAAATCCTCTGATTCCCACTGCCAAGTCTTGCCCTGCGGGCTAGATAATCGGATGACTTTCTTGAAAAGGCTCCTGCTGGTTTCCAGCTGTGGCAAAGGCACAACGTAAACAGGAGACGCTTGGGGGCCCAGCTAGCACACAGTAGGTGCAATCAATTATGGAGGTGCTGTGGGCAGGGACCCTTTCTCTCTGCTAGTCCCCACCCCCACTGGTGCCCAAAGTGGAGAAGAGTAGGTTGGACTTTGCCTCTTCCTCTGGTCAGAGAAAGGGAAGGGGGAAGGCAAGGAGGCCTCAGGCGGACCTGGAGTCTCATTCCAATCTGTACTCCACTCGCCCCTGCCCCTAGCCTCAGATGGGCCATGGGCTTCTCTCTCCGGGAAGGTAATGGCTTCTGGCCTGAAACAACTGATCCGCTGAGCCACTTCAGATGGCTTCTCCCCTCCCCATCCACTCCTCATAGACGTGTACTTGGACCGGAAGGGAGTAGTTCAGGCTCCCTTCCCCTCAGGGCAGGCTGCCCAGACTGTCTCCCATCTCCTCTGTGCTCTCCTAGGTAATAAGCTTGAGTGAGGGGGGGAGGAATTGTAGTGGATCCCCATGTGTCGCCTCTCCCTAGCCTCCCTCCTGTGGGGGAGGGGGTGTCAAGATATCATTGGCTGGCGGATTCCTTCTGCACTCTGCTCTTCTGAACTAATAGTAATAGTACCATGATGCCCACAGCTTGGGCACTTATTATCTGCCAGCCACTTTGCTACATGCTTTACATTTTCTTTATATGGATTCTATGAAGAAGGTATTATTTTATCCCCATTTTAAACTTGCGCCCTGAGGCACACAAAGGTGAAATACCTTACTCAAGGGTACACATCCATTAAGCAATGCATCAGGATTTGGGCCAGGGCAGGCTGGGGGGAAGGAAGGCCCAGCCCAGCTAAGGACCACTGAGGTGGCACTGAGCCCTCACTGAGCCCTGACCTGGAGACCCCCTGGGTGTGTGCACACAGGGAGGCTTTTTCCTATCCTCATTCCCTCTAGTCCCACAGGCCTCCCCCCTGGTACTCCTCAGATGGGATCCTGCCTGGGAGGCCCTTCTCCATAGCCTGGTTGCTGATTATTTCTGACCAAGCCCTCTCTGCAGCCAGTGAATTGGATCTGCCCCATTGGTGATCAGAGGAATCCTTCTTGAGCATGAAATTGGGCCTGATTGCCCCATGGAACATGCTTCATGGGGGTGAGGGGCCAGGCCTACTATCAGATCCTGTCCAGTGGGTCAGGGATGCCCAGGAGAATTCCTTCTTGAGGGTCTGACTACTCCAGCCTCTCCTCCAATGGATTCAGGACCAGAAAGGCTGGATCAGGGAAGGCCAATGAGGGAACCAGGCCCAGACTGGGTCAGGGCTTTGCTATGGTTACACAGGAAGGGGACTAGCCTCCTACCATCCCCTGCAGCCTGAAATACCAGAGCACATCTTGACCCTACCATAGAACCCCTTCTCCCCCAACTGAGCAGGATCCAGGGGTCAGTCCAGACCACCTCAAGGTGGTTCTGAGATTCTGAGGATAATGTTCTCCCCCACCCTCACGCACACACACACACACACACACACACACACACACACACACACACACATTTCCCAGTGACAACAATGGTGCATGTGACCAACACACAGTCACATATGTACATACAGCACAGGAGTGAGTGGCAGCAGCCAGTGCCCTGCTTGCTAAGGACTCATTAACCCTGCCCCTCTTCCCCACTGATTGAACCAGCCACAGGGTCACTCTATCACTGCCTAGGGCATGGGATGGGGTGCCCTCCAGCAGCTGTGGGACCTAAGAATTTGACTCCATTTAGTGTTCACTGTCTGTCCATACAAAGGATTGGCCTCTCTCAGAGGCTCAGTGTGTTTGTATGTGTGTGTGTGAAAGTGTGTGTCCATGGTCATTTCGTGTGTGCAGGGTGAGTACCTTCTACGGTCAATGTGTGTCTACAGTTATTATGTGTGGCTGTGATATTTGTGTGAGGGGTGGAGGCTAGGGATATACATACCAGTGACCAGAAACACACACTGTCCAAAAGCACACATATTACCATGGATGTACACAAAGACCATGGACATACACTAAGCATGAAAGCATGTATGTTCCCCAGACACACACTGATCACATACACTGAATATTTTACGGATAAAAAGAGGCTGAGGCTTTCCTGACTTCCTGCCTTGGGTTGGCTTATAGCTGGGTTCTGTGTCTTTTTCCCAGATGTGGAAGGGAAAGCTACCACCCTTTCTCTCCAACTTCTTCCCTGACTGCCCCTCAAGAAAGCAGTAGGCCCAGGGGCGCCTGGGTGGCGCAGTCGGTTAAGCGTCCGACTTCAGCCAGGTCACGATCTCGCGGTCCGTGAGTTCGAGCCCCGCGTCAGGCTCTGGGCTGATGGCTCGGAGCCTGGAGCCTGTTTCCGATTCTGTGTCTCCCTCTCTCTCTGCCCCTCCCCCGTTCATGCTCTGTCTCTCTCTGTCCCAAAAATAAAAAAAAAAAAATAAATAAATAAATAAATAAATAAATAAACGTTAAAAAAAAAAAAAGAAAGCAGTAGGCCCAGAGGAACTGGCAAGGAAAGTGAGTCTTGGACCCCCAGCCTGTAGAGAGAATCTCAGCCCCCACCCCCCCCCCCCCCAACCACCACCACCACCAGCCAGAGTAATCAAGGCAAATCAGTCTATTTCCCAGCCCAGTGCCATTCCTCATTCCCTCCTTCCTGCCTGCCCTGAGAAGGCCTGTTGCAAAAGCCCAAGAGTAAGCTCAAACTCCAGAAATATGGGCTATCCTGGCAGGCTCACACTCAAGCATACACACACACACACACACACACACACACACACACACACACACACAAGCACACACTTGTCTTTAGAGTCCTTCCAAGGGAAAAGGTGGGGGAGGTCTGTGAGAGAGCGCAAGTGGGGGGCTGTGCACCTGGCCACGTCCCTGCATGGTCCATACATAGTGTAGCTGAAATCATAGCTCTGTGTCCTGGGGGTTTCCACTAGGATCACCGGAGGCACTGCACCTGAATGTAGGATTGTGTGTCTGCGTGGTAGAGGGTCTGCCTGTGTCTGTGAGTGCGACCAGGAGCCAGTGTTGCATGACTGCGTGAGCAATGGTGGACCTGGTTTATGTGTGATGCTGAGCCTGTGCATGTATGTGCGCACACTTCCATGTGTTCTCAACTGTTTTTCCACTGGGGAGGGTGACGGGGGGGGCTTGTGTACTTACGGTTATTGCAGGCCCTGGTGTGTAACTCTTTGCGTGCGTGCGAGCGCGCGCGCGTGTGCCTGAAAAAAGTGTGGCTGTGGCTGTGGCTGCGTCTCAGTAGGCGCACGCCCCACCTTGGCTCCTCTCCCGGCCCAACCGACCCGCCTCCATTCACCCAGCTGGGAGCAGTGCGGCCGCCGGCCGGGGGGGAGTCCCCGCCCCCTCCGCCCGAGTAAACTTTTCCCAAATCCCCGAGCCGCTTAGGGCGAAGCCGCCCCCGCGGCCTAATCCGCGCCCCCCGCGGATCTGCATAATCGGGTTAGCGGCCGCGCTCCCTCCCGCTCTCGCCGCCGCCGCCGCCGCGCGCGATTCTCTCGCTGTCACTTAGGGAGGCTCAGCGCGATTTGCGGCCTAATCCCCCGGGATCGCTCGGCCGCCGCTCCCCGAGGGGCCGCCAGATTGTTCCCTTCATAATTGATTGACTCTATTTGCCGGATTGGGACTTCAAAGCGCCGGCGGCGCGGGGGCGCCTGGGAAGGAGCGGGGCCCGCGGCGGGTCGGCGGGCTGGGCCGGGCGAGGCCCCTGCCCGGCAGGCGCCTTCCACCCCGCAGCCGCGTCCTTGGGCCGGGGAAGCTGGAGCACGAAATTCGTCAGTGATGTTGGTGACCAATACGACGAGTCCGATGGTGTGGATCGCGTGGTCACCGCCCGTGTTGGCGAGGTCTGGACCAGGCACGGTGCTCAGTGCTTCTTGAGTCGACGCTTTAATCCTCCTCCCAACCTCACAGCCTGCAGTGTATTAATATCCCCATTTTACAGGTGAGGAAACAGCTTCAGAGAGCACTCTTCCTTCTCGGAACACCTTCCATGGGCAGCAAGGTTCTGGGGATCCAGCTGGAGCCAGACTGACCCTGTCTCTGCCTCCAAATGGAATCTTATTCTAGGGAAAGAGGCAGGTGGACACACAAGAAACAGAGAAATACATGAACAGAAAACACGGCAAAGTGATGTTGTGATAGCACCTGGGGAGGTAAATTAGACTGAGTGGCCAGGGAAGGCTTCTTCTGAAGGAGGGGCTGCTTCAGCTGCAACCTGAAAGCTGGGAAGTGAAGGAACCCGCTTGGTGAGGAGCTGTGGGGCAGACACTGGAGCAGAGGGAAAGACAGGTGGGAAGGCCCCTGTGCAGGGACGAGCCATTAGCAGGTAGTAGAGCCGAGGCAGAAAACTCAGGGCTGAACTCCAGAGCCCAGAGGCTGAATCCCATTTCCTTTTCCACCTTGCCCAGCCTAGACCAAGCACCATCTTCAGCACAGGCTAAGCCCCTAACACAAATGTCCAGATGTACTGGCACAGGCACCCGTCTCTGCCCAGCTCACTGCGGGTTCCTGGATTGGCCTATCAGTGCTGGAGCCTGGGCGCTTCCATATTCCATGGATCAGAGACTGCCTTGGTCGACAGCCCAGCACCCAGAGCCTTTTTGGAGCTAGGGCTGCCACTTGCTCCTCTCCAGAGGAGATAGGGGCAGGGCAGGAGGCGGAGCTGGAGGGGCCCCGTACCCTGCCCAGCCATAGCCAGACTCCCAGAACTCCCTAGCCCAGACTCAGGAATCCCCAGAAACGCCTAATTAATTCTTGATTACCCACTGTCTCTGCAGCTGCCATTAGCCACCTCCCCAGCCTGGGCCCAGTTAGGCCATGTAATTAAATTAGCGTAGGGAGAACATTTCCAGGCAGGAGCGAGGTATTCCTCCTGCTGAGCCTCCTACGAGTTCTGGGAGAGCTGATGAGGAAGGCTCAGAGACACCAAGGGGAGCATACAGGGTCACACAGAGGGGCTAGAATTGGGGCGGCTCGAGTGTAACTCCTCGAAATTAGTTCTGGCCCCCCTCATCCCACCTCTCTTGAGACCTCTACTCTCAGCACATATTTTAAACCTTAAATGTCTTTAAAATGACAAGAGATTTGCTGCTGTCCTTAATTAAATTTATGCCAATTCACAGAGCTTTTGGAGAGAGGGATTTGGGACAGGGGAGGAGAGAGTCCGATTTCCATGGGGTAGGAAGCAGAAGACAAGGGGTTTGCAGCACGGAGGCATTTCCCACCTTCAGGATCAAAGGGGTGGGGCAGAAGGAGGTGGGTGCAGCAGCGGTATGGCAGGGAAGGGAGAACAGGTGAACACTGGAAAACTGAGGCCCTGGCCATAGGAGCTCCCTTAGGTGAAGGTGGGGAGTCACGTTCTTTTTTATAAGAGAGACCAGAGAAAGTAGCCTAAAAGAACACCCTGAGGGGGAAAACTAGGCCATAAACCAAGGCAGAAAGGGCTGGGGAATTTGGGCCTATACATAGTGAGGAGGACCTCGCTGGAGTCTCTACCCGCCACATCTGAGGAGCCAGGCTTCCCTCCCTCAATCCTGGGAGATGCTGGCTGACAGCCCCCCTCCCCCCAAACCCAGCTTCTTGTCACTTCAGAAAATCAGAAATAAGCCTTAGTGATTAGAGGGAGACGAGAGTGAGATGGGGCTTAGAGGCTCAGGGAGGTGTTAAGAGGCGAGTGGGACTCAGAGTATTAGGGGGGCAGAGCTAATAGCTTCTCTGGATGCCCCCCCCCCAACTGTAGTACTCAGGGGGAGGAGGGAGAAGGAGAGGGAGAAGGTGAGGGATGAGAAGACGTGGAGAAGAGAAAGGAAAAATGATGGGGAAGAGAAGGAGGCAAAGAAAGACAGGCGCTGAAGGAGGGAGAGAAGAAGGTGGGGAGAGGGTAAGGCAGGAGGGATGGAAGTGAGAAAGGAGTGAGACATGGAAGTAAAGGTGAAGATAAAAAGTGGATGAGGAAAAAGAAGAAGGATTCAGTGAGATGTCACAGTCTTATTTGATTGAGAAAAAAATAAATTTTATAAAGCTAATACCCAGTGTTGATGGCAGTAGGGACATGGATGCTTGGGGTACAATGGCGCAACCTTGGAGGTTCTGGAGATAGAGGGCGTTTTGGCAATAACCATCAAAATTTTAAATATGCATCCCCGGACGCCGAACAATTCCACATCTAGGCATCTGTCCCCCAGCAACACTGGCCTGTGGGCACAGCGGTGTAAGGACAGAGGTACTTGCAGCCATGATGCAGTCCAACGTGCAAGGACTGAGTACATCACTGCAGCCATCCCATGGCATACTATGCACCCAGGAAGAAGGAGAAGCTAGATCCGCCCACGCTGTCATGGAAAGGTGCAGCAGACATATTGTTCAGTGACTAGAGTAAGTCATTAAACAGTATGAATAGCATGGTCCCAATTTGAAATGTTGAAAGAAAAAACACTTAAAACTATATTGGGGGAGGCACCTGAGTGGTGCAGTTGGTTGAGCGTCTGACTTTGGTTCTTGGGTTGGGTCATGACCTCACAGTTTGTGAGTCCAAGTGCCCGCATGGGGCTCTGCATTGATGGTGTGAGCTTGCTTGGGATTCTGTCTCTCCCTCTCTCTGCCCCTTCACCGCTTGTGCTCTCTCTCTCTCTCTCTCTCTCTCTCGCTCTCTCTCTCTCAAAATAAATAAACTTAAAAAATTTTTAACCTATATGAGAGATGTGTGTGTGTAAATATATAGAATCAAATGTGGAAGGAAGGAGAACCCCCAATTACTGTCAGTGAGATTTATGGGGTAGGGATGGGGGAGTATTACCTTTTCACTTTGTATTCTTTTGCATTATGTTTTTAGAATGAGGTTTTTGAATTTTTTTAATGTTTGTTTATTCTTGAGAGAGATAGAGCATGAAGGGGGGAGCGGCAGAATCCGAAGCAGGCTCCAGGCTCTAAGCTGTCAGCACAGAGCCCAACGCAGGGCTCAAACTCACGAACCACGAGATCATGGCCTGAGCCAAAGTCAGACGCTTTACCGACTAAGCCACCCAGGCACCCCTAGAATGAGTTTTTTGAACCATATATTAGTTATGTATACTTAACAATAATAACTTTCTAAGAGGGATGAGGAAGGAAAGGAGGGCAGGAAGAAGGAAGGAAAGAAGGTGGTGCCGGGCCAGAGGGAGAGCGGTGGAAAGCAGGCCGGCTGGGTCAGTAGTGGTGCAAGGTGGGGGGTGTTTGGCTTCCAGGAGGTGCGGTGGGGGGGGGGGGGAAGGGCGGCTACCAGCCAAGCAGCGCCCCCCAAAGTGCCCAAACACATTCCTTACCCCTGTCCCCATCACAGAAAATCTGGCTGAGGCCTGAGTAATTGAAGGCTAATTGGGTTTTAGGCTTGTTAATGCTCCTGCGAATGTTTGCACTGAGGAGAGCCAGTCGATCCGGATAAATGACTCCCTGTGGGACTCCAGTGGGGGAAGAGACACTGAGGAGAAAGGGCCTTATGGATGACAAGCAGGAAGCAGAGTTTTTCAGCTCCCTCCAGAGGAGTGTGGGAGGGGGTACAGTGCCTGGGAAAGCTGAGAAGCCCTTGGATTTTGTGGAGAGGGGGAATTGGAAGGGAGAAGCTGGTCCAGGGAAGTTCAGGCCCTAGTCAGGGCAGGGTTCTGACAAGTGGCAGGGAGGAGCCCAGGAGGGAGGAGCCCAGGAGGGAGGCCAGGACTGGTGACCCCAGCCAGAATACACAGCAGCGTGGGGGTTCCAGTCTCCAAAGGGAGTGAGGGGATGAGTCGAGCTACCTGTGATAGGCAAGGAGGAAACCGCTGGAGCTTCTGCCCACACCCAGGAGCAAATTATTGGGCTCGCAAAGGGACAGGGTCCCTTTAAGAACTACATCCTGGGCTGTGCTGAAGTGTGCCTTCTGACCCAGGCCCTTCATACCTTCTGAGGCATCCTGCACCTCCAGGCCTATGTCGCAGCCCTCCCGCCCAAATTCCCCACCACTGTGTCCTGCTAGGAGGTGGCTTGCCTGCTGCGCCAGAGGGGCTCTGAGGCTCCCCATTCTCTGTGGACTGGACGTTGTTGGCTTCTGACTGTCGAGCCTTCAGGAGGCTTCTGACTGGCATAAACGTGCGGGCAGCAGGGATGGGGCCAGAGGAAGGTAGCCTCTCTAGGTCCCCCTGAAGAGACCTGATGATGCCAGAGGAGACCCCATGAAGGGGAGTCAGGCCCAGGCAGCCAAGGAAGAGAGAGGGAGACTCTTAGAGAACATGAAAAGGTTTTGTTTTGCAAAGTTACTGCTTGGGGGGGGGAGCTTCTTGTGCTACAGGAGCTGGAAATCCCAGACTCGGGAGAAACCCATGATGAGGCCCTTCCCAGGGTAATCCCCACCCTCCACAATCCCCTTCTCTTCTCCAGGGGTCAGACAATACAGGATGTGCTCTTAAAGGATCAGCTGCACATTTGTTTCCTCCTCCTCCTCCTCCTCCTCCTCCTCCTCCTCCTCCTCCTCCCCCTCCTCCTCCTCCTCCCCAGGCCTGACTCCGGGACTGGGCCCCTGTGACAAGGCAGGGAAACGTTTAATGAGTTTGTACCCCCGAGAGCACAGTGACTGACAGCCGCCCCGGGGGTCACCACTCTTGTCCTGGAAGAGGATGCGGCAGCTGCTGGGCTCTGCGTGTGCATGTAAGCACACGCCTGTGCTCCCTGTGCACGTGCATCTGGGGCTGGGAACCCTTCCTGGGAACAGAAGCTGCTGCGAGGGCTTGAGGAAAGGGGAAGGACTTGGGGGGTTGCTTGGGGTTCTTTCTGGGGGTGCCTCTAGCCATAAACCCTAACCCTTCCTCTGGTCTCCTCACGTTGCTCTCCACACATTGAACTTAGGCCAGGCTGGTGGGAGGGAGGCCTGAGGCTGCCCACAGTGGGGTTTGAAGAAATTGGGGGGCAGGGTCGATGTGGAGGCCTGAGTCTGCATGGGTAATGAGGCCAGGGACTGGCTTGTCAATAGCATTTAAGTACTTTTCTCCCATTTTCAGGCCAGACTGAATTATTTATTCGTTTCTGGTCAATCGCTGGTAATGTCATTAGCATTTGTCCATCAAAGGTAGGGAACAGAGTGGGAGTACTCCCCCCCACCAACTGACCCCCGCTTTGCAAACCGACTCTCAGAGGTCAGTCCGTCCTGTTCCAGGTCCCTGCCCCGGCTCTCAAGTTACTCCAGGACTAGAATTTCTCAGAGGCCCTGCATCCAGGATGTTCTGTATTCCCACATGCCACATCTTCAAGCCTCATGGAACTAAGGAGCCAGGTAGTAGACGTCCTTCCTATTCTTCTCACACACACCTGGGTCATTAACTTAGAAACTCAGTCCTCCCACATTCAGGCATCACACCAGCTGGCTGACTTCTTGGAAGGTGAGCCAGGCCTGGCAAAGGAAGACCTAGATGCACGGTGTGGTGGAGAGCAGGCAGTCCGGGGAGAGTCCTGCCTCTTCTCTTGGTCCAGAGCCTGCTCTTCTTCCTCAAACTCGGCTCTTCACGTACTGTCCTTCCTTCCTTCCCCCTCAGACGAGGCTCCCAAGTCAGAGTTCTACTTGTCCTCTCAGACCAGGCTCACAGGACGTGAGTTGCCTCCCCCTTCAGATTAAACTCTCAGACCAAGTTTCTTTCTCTTTCCTCAGTCAGCTCCCCAGACAGAATCTGCCTCCTCTTTCAGGCCAAGACCCCAGGCTGGGCTCCAGGGCAAGACCTCCCTCTCTACTCAGTCCACAGGACTTCCTAAACCATTGAAATCAAAGCCCTGCAGGATTAATTCTCAGGGAAGGGACTGCTGGTCCTCCCCTGGCTGAGTTGTGAGCATCTAGTTTGGGAGCCCCTAAATCCAGGCCCTTCAGTGACCAACCTAATCTTCCATCCTCGACCTTGGAACTTGAAAAAGCCAGTAAAGGAGGAGAATTCCTAAAGCGATCAGGGAGAGAATGTGCAGGGGGCTTGCTGAGCAGTGCTCTGGGGAACAAGCCTCTGAAGCAGTGGCAGCAGGACCAGACAGAGGGAGAGGTCCATCCGTGCGATTCAGTGGCCTCAGCCAGTCCCACAGGAAGCTTGAGGTAAGGGGTCAGACCTTGTACTCCTGCACTGGCCAGTCATCGTGTGCACCGCCCCTAGGGAAAGGGCGTACCTTGGGTGAGGCAGCTGAAGGCTGTTCCCCAGAGAAGAAGCTGACCATGACCCATGAGTAGCCAACAGTCAGCGGCTGCAGGAATGCGGAGGCCGGGAAGCACTGCAGCGTCCCCGGAGCGCTAGGCGACACGGATGGACGGGGCACCAGCAGTCTCTGTGGAATGGCTCAGTCCGTGAAGCTGTGGGTGTTATAAAAGTTGGGAGGGCAGCCACACAAGGCAGTTTGGATGGGCACCACAGGATGAAAAGGTTTGGGGCCGCATGGAGGACTGGGGTAGAGTGAGGGACCAGGCAGATGTGGCTTGGGGGGACACCAGTGGACCAAAAGTTGGGAAGACAGAGGTGGTGAGAGTGTCTTCATGTTGCCCCTGCCTGGGCTGGGCCAGGGCTATTCCCAGGCAGGTCTAGGCAGCCCGGATAGAAAAGAAGGCCCCTCCTCAGCACTGTGGGCTCCTCAGTCACTAAGCAGGATTAGCCTCCTCTTCCTCAGGGGGAGGGGCTCTGCTCCTGCATCAGCTACCAGCTCTGGCCCTAATCCCCCTCGCTTTCTAATCCACCCACGACTTTCTTAGGCATTAACGTTGGGCTCTCAGCTCCCTAAGCACCACCCTGAAGATGGAAGCTGGGCTCTGAAGGGAATTAGGCCAGCCTCAGAGGATGGTTCTGCAGACAACTGGAGGGAGGCTGAGAACACCACCCCCCGCCCCCCGCCACAGCAGCCTCTTCCTCTGCAGCCCACCCCTACCCCCACCCCCAGACAGGGTCCAGAGCCTCACAGGGGTCTCTTCCAGCTCACTTCTGGAGTCAGGCAAGGATGGGGGATGGAGAAGGTCTGAAGAGGAAGAGGATCCCCTAGGGTGGATGCTGAGTCCAGAGGTGGTGTCAGCAAAGGATACAAGGGTCACTCACAGCCTGGCAAAGGCAAAAAGTTGGGAGGGCTCGGGGCACTCTGTGCCATGAGAGAGACTGGAAGGGTAAACTAGGGCCAGATTGTGTAGGACCTTGAATGCCAGCTGAGGAATTTGGACTTTACCTTGGGAGTGGTAGGGAGTGGTGGTGGGAAAGTGGTGGGATTAAGAGCCATTGCTCTGGTACCTACGAAGGACTGATGGGGTGGGGGACAGGGGGTACCTACAAAGGACTGAGGGTGAGGAAGCTCTTGCTGTGATGGCAGCAACAGGCAAGGGGACCCAATGAGGACACCCACCCAAGGTCACCCAGCTTCGGCTCCCAGCACAGCTAGATGGTGCAGCACTCCGTGTGGTGGCTGGGACAGGTGCCGCCCCTGTCTGGTTCGGGGGCTCTGTGAGTATCTGTGGGGGAGCAGCCTGGGCGCCCCAGAGGTGAGGTGGGGCAGTGGCCTTCCGGCTGGTTGGAGGCTTCCTTCCAGGGCCTCTTAATCAACCCTTGCTCCAACTATCAGAAACAGGTTGCAGCAGCCTGGCTGCAGCACAGGACAGAAGGAGTGGCCTGGTGGGCAAAACCGTCACCTGCCCCAAGACACCTCCATTTGGGGCTAAGTTATCTGCAGATGTTGTAGGGGTGGTTATGTCTTCATTAAACCAGGTATGTACTAAAATTCTCCTTACCCTACCCCTCGGGCTGGGCAGTTGTCGTTTGCCCATTTTTTTACAGATGAGAAAAATGAGGCTCAAAGGAAGTCACTTTTCCTAGACCCACACAGCTTGTGACAGCAGTGAAACCAGGCAAGCAGAGAGGGGAGGACAGCCATTCACAAGCCAGGAAGGCCAAGTGGTGCAGTGGTTACAAGTGTCACTGTTGATGACTGATGGGTCGGAAGTCAAACCCACACTCTGCCTGCCTATTGCTAACTGAGGCGACCGTCTGGAGTCCCAGGTTTCTCATTTTGGGTGAATAATGCCAACTCGCAGGACCGCTACGGTGAAGGCAGGGGAGGGGGAGGCCAGGTAGGAGAATATACATACAGGGTTCCAATGGGAACCCAGGTTGGGGGCCAAATGGTTGCTGTTGTTGCTGCCCAAGGCCACTGAGTAGACAGGCAAAGAGGCAGAGGCTGATTCCCAGCTCTGTTTGTTTCCTGGATGTACCTTCCCCTGGGTAGTGGCAGGCACCTGGGGTCCCTAGACTCCTTGAGGGGCGTTAGGCAGTAGGGCAGGCAAGTAGGGCGCTGAGCAGGTGGTGGGATGTTAAACGGCCAGGAGGTTCATCAGGGCCGGTGTGTTAGGGCCTGCTGGCAGGCCCCTCTCATTGGGCCCTGTTAATGAGCTTCCACTGGATTATCCGCTCCCACCTCCGCTCCGTTTACTCTGTCAAATCGAGTTTGCATTTTAAATGGGAATTTGACAAGACGGGCAATTTGTCTGCTGACGAGGTTAATGGGTGTTAGCCCTGCGGACTGAGGAGGGAGAACCCATGCCCCAGCACAGCCTGGCCCCTGCCCAGATCAATGACCCTGGCCGCTGCTCCTCCCTCCACTGCAGCCACTCTGGGCCTCCCAGTGGCCAGAGGCTGTCCGTGTATGTCTGGCTCACCGCCTCCAGGCAGTCTTCCCCAAAGCTCTGGGCCCTGGGCCATCATCTACTGCTCAGGCTGGTGACATTCCCCTCTTCCTAGATTCAGACAGGGCTCCTGAGGGCTGGGCCATGCCACCCCCTCTCAGACTAAGAGCCTCCCTTCTCAGACCCAGGTTCTGGGGTGAGGGGCAGGGCCAGGTTTTCCACCACAGTTGGGTTCCCAAGGGCAAGGGAGTGTCTCCTCCTTCCTGCTCCCCCTCCCACCGCCCTCTCCCATTTGTGACTTGAAATAGAGCCAGGAGGGCTAGAACTGCCACTTCCTGAGTCCCATAATCTGGGATATGGACTGGTTGGCAAGAGAAGCTTTCAAAGCCATCACCTCCAAGCTTGGGACAACATCTAGACCAAGCCCCAGTGTTGGGGCTCACAGAGGAGCTGAGAAACCTGCTGAGACTTCTTGATGGGGCCCAAGTTGACCTCCCTCACGTGGGACCTTCCTTGAGCCACCTTCTCCGAGGCTGAGCAAGAGCCCAGGTTTCTGGAACCCCAGCCCGAGCCAAGAGCACCAGACCAGGGTGGGCTCAGGCTGTGGAAGAAGATGCCTCTGCTTCCCCTCCTCCTGAGGGCCCAGCGCCCTTCCCCGCCCTGGCTAATGTGCCACAATTACCTCCTAAGTGCCCAAACAAATGTGGCTGCTGGGGAAAGTGACACGGGCTCCAGGTGATGGATTCGTGCCATCGGGGAGCCGGGCGGAGCGGGCCCCGAGCGGGGGGGGCAACACTAATATTGTATCAGCGTCGGCGCCGGCGCCACGAGCCGGTGATGAATATGTGTCACTTTACACGGCGCACACTCGGGGGCCTGGCTGCGCAGGCATGGAAAATAGAGTGTCTGGGATTAATGATATTGAAAATGATAGAGAGCAGATTGGAAATGGCTTCGCCCGCCCGACCCGCGGAGATGGAAACGTACCTCACAGCTATCTGCCTGGCCGGCCCCCATCTGCCCCCCCTTTCACCAGCCACGGAGGCCCACGCACGATAAGGACCCTGCGTCTTGTTCCCACAGGCAGCTCCTTGGGATAGCACATGTGGGGGACACACCTGTGAACAGAGACACAGGACATCAAGGAAATCTCAGCTTCTGACTGACCTTTGACCTTGGTCCCAGATGAGCCTGACCCCAGTCACCCAGTGAACCTTGACCTTGGCCACAGACCAAGTCCTGACCCCAGTTCCAGCTGAGCCCTGCCTCTGGCCACAGATTGAGTCTGCTGGAGCCTGAGCCTCTCACAAGACCATGAGAGCTGGGACAGTAGGGCAGAGGAGATGAGGAATGAGGTGGGAATGTGTGGATCACTCAGCATAGTGCATCCCACGCTGGAGGGCAGCTCACAGCCCAGTCTGTTAACTCCACGGTGTGGACTCCTGAGTCAGTTAGCAAGTGAACAGGTGTCTTCTCCATTAATGTCATTTTTTTAATATTTTATTTTTAAATAATCTCTATCCCCAACATGGGGCTCGAACTCACGTTCCTGAGATCGAGTCACACGTTCTACCAACTGAGCCACCCAGGCATGCTTCCACTGATGTCATTTTAGTGTTTAATTATGTTGGTTTTTGTGATTGTGTCTACTACACACATAAGTACATATTTGTAGGTATGTGTGTTTATGTGTGCATCTGTTCACAAATATACCTGTAGGGCTGTGTCTAGTGCGTGCAGGAATGTGGGTAACTGGGCTTCCCCTCTGTACGTATGCCTTGATGTATTCAGACATCTATGGGGGATTCTGTGTATGCATGTGAGGGTGGCTTATCTTAGGTTACTCTGTACAGAGGTATGGGGATGCCTGTGGTGAGTGTGTGTGTGTGTGTGTGTGTGTGTGTGTGTGTGTGTGTCTGAGCGTCTGCGAAGGTGTGTGTTGTTTACCCACAGATGGAGGGACTCTGATGTGTGGACTGTAGTAGAGGAAAACCCTTCAATGAGGCCTGACCCTGTTTACAGGTTAAATTTCCAACATTAGGGCAAGATGCCTTTCCCTGTTGGAATGGAATCTAGTGCACTGGGATTTCAAAATTGCCAGATGGACAGCAACCCTATGGCCATCAGCTGAGCCTCAACATCCATCCCAACCCAAACCAAGATGAGGAGGATGCACCTACATCAACTCCATTCATTCATTCATTCATTTATTCATTCATTTGACAAATACTTCATTGGGTTCACGATATGGTAGTTACTATCTTCGATGAACAGGACAAACATGGTTCTTACTTCATGCAAGGTCCGTCAATCAGAGGAGACAGACACTAAACGAGTAAACAGAGAAGTAAGCAAGCAAACACTGACACAAGGTAAAAAGTGTCACAAAATAAATAATCAGAAGGCCACTATAGAGTTAATGGGGTGACCCATCATTAGATGCGGTGGTCAGGGTTAGCTCCTCCGTGCAGGTGACATTCAAGCTGAGGGATGAGGAGCCAGCCCTGTGGAAAGAGGAGAACAGTGAGTGCAAAGGCTCTGGCCATATTCTAGGCCCCGTCAGGAGAGAGAAGTCAGGGCAGCAGCAGGAGGGGGTGGTGCCGGAAGGGACTGGGCCTCCTAAGCCAGCGTGAGGAGTACAGGTTTTGCTTCCAGTGGGCTGTGGAGACGTGGG